ATTTGTGAGTGAGAGCTGTCGGAGAAAACAGAATTGACTACCATATTATTTTTGAATTGTCTCATAGCTTCACTCTGGAGAGATAACAATGGAGTTGATGTCAAAATCATGCCTAAATGCTCCCTACCGTTAATGAACACATGTTCCAGCATGGTATGCCAAGGGTAAGTGCCTATTTACTATTCCTTTATAAATGTTTTGCTATTTTTTTTTTTTTTTTTTTTTTGAGACGGAGTTTCGCTCTTGTTACCCAGGCTGGGGTGCAATGGCGCACTCTCGGCTCACCGCAACCTCCGCCTCCTGGGTTCAGGCAATTCTCCTGCCTCAGCCTCCCGAGTAGCTGGGATTACAGGCACGCACCACCGTGCCCAGCTAATTTTTTGTATTTTTAGTAGAGACGGGGTTTCACCATCTTGACCAGGATGGTCCCGATCTGCTGACCTCGTGATCCACCCGCCTCGGCCTCCCAAAGTGCTGGGATTACAGGCTTGAGCCACCGCGCCCGGCCCTGTTTTGCTATTAATTAAAAGAGAAAACAGCTTCAGAAATAAAGCCAGCTTTCATGGGTTCATGGTACTCCTTTATAATAGTAAGAATATTCCTTACTATTGTAAGTTAATCTCTCAATGAAATAAGCCTTAATGTGTTAGCATGTGTTTAGTAGAGAGAGCAGAAGAATAATGTCTGGGCCTTAACTCTTTCATATGCTTAAGGTGATTATGATTATTTCATCAGAACTTTTTCACTCAACTTGAATGATAATATATGTCTTATAGAATTTGTTGCTAAATTTTAATTATATAATATCTACTTATTTAATAAATGCTACTGTGCCACTACCTTGTGCTGGGCTAGGCCCAGGGAATTACATGATAGACAAAAATATTCTAGCAGTGGTTAAAAATAACAAAGATAGAGCAGAGAGAGAGGGAGATAGCAAAATAGAGAACCTGGTTAAGAATCACATTCTAGAGGTGGCTACTGACAGATGAGTGTAGAATAGTTTGGAAATCTATTTTAAGGTACAGATAGTTAGTTGCAACTAATTAGAAGCTGAAAAGTTATATAATCCAGTTTACTTTTGAAAAGATTTACTCTGATGACTATAAAAAGTAAGAGGACTCTAAAGAAACCAAATGTGCTTGAAGTTTGTACCAGGGGAGACAAGGTAGGAGAAAGAAGACAAGTACCCAAAAAATTAGGTCAAATATTAAACTCTTCATATTGGCTAAAAAATATGTCCTAGACAAAACCTTTCGAAACCTGTATCTTTTTTTTTTCCAGTGGTACGGGAGAATCACAAGGAATCAGGTGTTCAGAGGAATGTATTGAGTAGAGGTGAGGAACTAGGATGTTAAAAAGTAAAAAAAGGAGAGAAGGAGAGAAAGAGAAAGAGGGAGAGAGAACAGGAATATTGCTTCATTCTAAAAATGGGTATTAATAATGGCCGATCAATATTTTGTGTATTTAAAATGGAGAACTCTATAAATATTTATCGAGTTTACTTGTTCCGGATCTGAGTTGAAGTCCTGGCTATCCTTATTAATTTTCTGTCTCGTTGAGTCTAAATCTCATTATGGGTCTTATGTATCTGGGTACTAAGATCTCTTATTGTTGCTTGATCCTTTTACCACTGTATCTTTGTTGAGTCAGTGAAGATTGAGGAACAGGGACATTTAGAGTTTCTCAAATATGTGTGTTGTTTAATGGTTATGGATTCTTGGGTGTAATTTAGAAATAACTTGGTTAAAAAAAAAAACATCATTCTAACCTCTTTGCATAAATAACTATTTAAATATAAGCTTTCTTCAAAATTCCAGGTGAAATGCTATTTTCTCTGGATATGTTCCACTTCCTTGTATTATCTTCCCTTCGATGAAATTTTCTCATTCTCTGTAAAGTTCTTTAATGGAAAATTCACTTTCCACATTATACTATAGATATAAGTTATTTATTTACCTTGTTCAAGGACAGATTGTGCCTGATTCCACTTCAAGCCTCTCAAAGTACCCAACCCATTCCTTACTACTAATTGCTCAATAAACTTACTTGTGTTAATAAAAAAATATATAAGAAAAAAATAAGAGGAGCAAGAATCAAATTAGAGAGATCATAGAGTTTATTGCAATAGTCTTAGCAAGCAATGTTGGGTTCTTGAGCTAACGTGATAGTGTCAGATTTCTTCTCAAATTGTTGAACTTAGGGGTTTTTGTGTCAACAGTGTTTGCACATTGATTAGATATCGGATAGATAGGAAAGGAAAACAATCAATCTTGGCCTTATCAAGAGTGGGGATGCCAGTACATACATACAGGTAAGCACTGACACTCATGAGGCTTAAGCCTCAGGCCTCCTCACTGTACAGGATCTTGGCTGACCCTAAAAGTGTGTTCATGTTGTTACATAGCTTTTATATTTCCCAAAACTAAGCTACCTTAACTATGATTGTTTAAGACCACCGTCTCTTTACCCTGTGTCACATTACCCCTAAGGTCAAGTGGCATTGCAGCAATTGTAGCCATTTCTGGATCCAGCTAACAGGGAGTTGAGCTGGGGGTTGTGGTGAATTTTTAAACATGGTTCCTAATAAATAACTTTTTTATTTGTCCAGATTCCTTTGTGATGTAACTCTACTGCTCCCTTCATCAAGAATTAGGGTCTATTTCTCCACACCTTGAATCAGACTGGTCTTGTGACTTGCTTTCACCAATAGAGTGCTGCAGAAGTGAAGTCTTAAAGCCCTGCTTAAAGAAAATTTGTAGCTTCTACTTTTAATCCTGGAATCCAGTCTCCACAAAAAGAGGTCCAGGATAGCCTGGGGAGACAGAGAACATAGTGAATGAAAGATCATAGTGAACAAACTGCTATATGGAGAGGGAAGCTCACGGAAGAGATCCACATTGCCCCAGTTTGACAGTAGAAACAAAGCCCCATTTATTGAGAATGAAGCAATCTTTGGTCTCTTAGCCCTAATCAAGTCACCACAGCTGATATCACATGGCATAGATACAAGCCATTCCCACTGAGCCCCAAATATCCAACCAACAAAACTGTAAGTAATAAAATGTTTACTGTTTTAAGCCACTATAATGCCGGACTTTCTTTTTTCTTGCATAGCTGCAGATTACTGGTAATGGATAATTAAGTTTGATTTCAACAGAATGTATTGATGTGGTTTGCAGTAACTTTAATATGTATGGTAAGGTTATTGCCTCTCTCCACGTGTGGGACTGGGCTTCAGGAATAGTCATGCCTCCCATTGTGCAGACTATCCTGGCATCATGACATCAGTGTACAGGGCCAGAAATGCTACAGCAAAATCAATCTGCCCTGTAATGTCTGGCACCCAAAGTACATGAGCAGTGGAAGAAAACAATACTGAAATGTACAGAGCCAGTAAAAATATGAGGAAAATTCTTCCCAGAATTATCTGTGTAAAATTCTAAGTGAAGGCTAGGTTCTTATCAATGATGAATCAAAATGGAAGTTATCAAAAGTATATAAATTATAAATTTGTCATAGAATTTGTATGAGACTTGCACACAATGAAATTTACCAGAAATTAGTGCATCTTGGGCACAAATCCAGATCAGAAGTACATAAAGTAAGTATATTTGAGAAGGATCATATTCAACAAACTCTGTATTTTTTCTATGAGACCAGAGTCGAAATATAACAACTTTAAAAATTTTTATGACATCATCAATGACTACTCTGAAGCTGAAATAAACTTTCTAATCTGTCAAGTATTTAAGTTTATTTTACTTTATTTTTACTGTTAATTTTTTAAAGAAAGGATTATACTAGAGGCAAAAATGAATATCATTTTATTGTTTTCATAGAAAATATTATAAATCAGCCAGGCACAGTGGCTCAGGCTTGTAATCCCAGCACTTTGGGAGGCCAAGGCTGATGGATCATGAGGTCAGGAGGTCAAGACCAGACTGGCCAACATGGTAAAACCCTGTCTCAACTAAAAATACACAAAAAAATATAGCTGGTCATGGTGGCATGTGCCTGTAATCCCCGCTACTCGGGAGGCTGAGGCAGGAGAATTGCTTGAACCTGGGAGGTGGAGGTGGCAATTAGCCAAGATTGCACCACTGCACTCCAACAGAAGGAGACTCCGTCTCAAAAAAGAAAAGAAAACATAAACTCTTTAATATGAAATGTGTGGCCAAAAATAGAAAAAAAGGTACAGACATGGTTGGGGCAGTTGATTCTTTCAAATATTATGTTATTTTCTGAATTTTCTGATTTTGCAGTATTTTTCAGCTCTTAAAATTTTATAATTTGTTGTTGTGATATCTCATTTTAAAGAAATAGTTAGGCAGGGTGCTGTGGCTCACACCTGTAATGCCAGCACTAGGGAAAGCTCAGGCGGTTGGATCATCTGAGGTCAAAAGTTAGATACCAGGCTGGCTAATGTGATAAAATCCTATTTCTACTAAAAACACACACAAAATTAGCCAGGCATGGTGGTGGTGCCTGCAATCCCAGCTACTTGGGAGGCTGAGGCAGGAGAATCACTTGAACCCAGGAACTGGAAGTTGTAGTGAGCTGAGATCACTCTACTGCACTCCAGCCTGGGCGACAGAGTGAGACTCTAAAGAAGGAAAGAAAAGAAGAAACAAAAGGAGAAAGGAAGGAAGGGAGGGAGGGAGGGAGGGAGGGAGGGAGGGAGGGAGGGAGGGAGGGAAATAAAGAAAGAAAGAGAGAGAAAAGGAAGGAAGGAAGGAAGGAAGGAAGGAAGGAAGGAAGGAAGGAAGGAAGGAAGGAAGGAAGGAAGGAAGGAAGGAAGGAAAAAGAAATAGTTATGTTGCAACCTAATTTTGAATTTATAGCCTTTAATTATTTTTCCTAACAAACACTCTCTGAACGGTTTCAATTTCAAGCCTCAAAAAGTCAGCCTATAACCTTGGTGGTGTCATTTACCATAATTAGATCACTGAATTTAATACTTAAGGTATAAAAAGGCTTTGAAAATTGTAATTTGCTACCTAAGTATGAAGTCTTGCCATCTTTATGTTTCCTTTGTAGAAAGCAGTGAATGCATCCGCAGTGCATAACCGTGTAAAAGAGCTCGGATGTCACTGCTTTCCAAGCTCTTGAAGGACAAGTGCTCATCTTGGCTGTCAAGGACCTCACTTCAGAACCCCATGGAATTGGTGAGTGTTCTAGACTACACAATGGAAAGGGAAATATACAAACAGGGCTTAGGAGATTCCGGGACACAAACATTCGTCAATATTTTAGGATGACTGACAAACAATAGTCAAGGAGCTCCCATTGGGCAACTCTCTTCAGCTAACAAGAAAAGAGCCAGTGAAAATCCCCAGCCCTGCTGTGACATGATGCTCACCTGGTAGGCAGTAGGTGGTCTGAGGCATTGCCTCCATTCCCTCTTTGTTTTCTGCTTCTAGTAATAATAACTGCTCCACAGCTTGTCAATTAAGACATTGCTCCCTACTCCTCCAATTATTATTATTGTTAATTATTATTTTTTAGACAAAATATGGCCATGTCTTCTAGGCTGGAGTGCAGTGGCAGGATCTCAGCTCACTGCAACCTCCACCTCCCAGTTCAAGTAATTCTCCTGCTTCAGCCCCCTGGCAACTGGGACTACAGGAGCGCACCACCACACCTAGCTAATTTTTGTATTTTTAGGAGAGACTGGGTTTTGTCATGTTGACCAGGCTGGTTTTGAACTCCTGGCCTCAAGTGATCCACCTGTCTCAGTCTCCGAAACTGCTGGGTTTAAAAGCATGAGCCACCACGCCCAGCAACCTCCAATTATTTCTGATGAATGCTTCGAGATCCTCCTTGAAATTTTGAAAACAAAAGAAAAGAAAACGAACGACCAGCTAACCAGTGATCAAACTTGCTCTTTGTTTTCTTGCTAATTTCTACATCTCTTGGAGTCAATGTGAAAAGAGAAAAGCATGCATAAAAGTCAATGCAAAGAATAATGTATCAACAAATAATCACATGTACCCCAAAAATACGTAAAATATTAAGTATCAATAAATGAAAATAATCAGTATTGAAAGCTATTTCAAACTCAGAAATGTATCTCACCAATTATATATATCTATAAACATCACAAATAATAGGATAATTGGGCATGCCTAGGGTTATATTAGAGGAGCAATATGCTCACAGCATTGAAAGAGCAAATTTCTTCACCCACTTGCAGATGGTATAATTTTCACAGCCAGTTCCCCTGTCCCCATTGTTCATCTCCTCCAGGACTACGAACACATTTCTTCAGTTTTTGGTTTCATTATTCCTCCACTGGGATATCTGTCACAGTTTACAAACACATTCAGATCTGTTCAATAATTTACAAAAGAATCCTTCCCTGAATCCCTGTACAATATTAACTAACTGAAACCTACAGGGTAATGAATATATTTTTTAAAAAATGATAAAGTATTTGAGTTTTCTGTAATATTATACAAACATGAAAGGCAAAGAGATGACATTTTCATATAATGTGCATATTGTTAGATTCAAGTATGATTTATATGTTTAAAATTAAACAATTTTTTAAGTTTTATAAGCAATAATAAAAGCGTTTCCTATTTTATGGCATAAATCTGGTTGTCCATATACAAGCTAACAGCATTTGAGGTTTCTTTTTATAATAACTAGTAATATCTTGCCCATTTGAACTTGGTTGTTGGTCATTTCTTTGTAATTTCCCTATTGTCTGAAAGCAACAAAAAAAATGTAGGTTTGTTTGGGATACAAAAACTAACTTACCCTATGACCCAAAAAATCACATTACATACTGATTAATTACTTATATTTGAGTAAAACATTGACTTACATTAAAAACCTTTGGCTCTAAATGTCCTATGCCTAACCTATTCGGTACAATGTAACACAAATTCAACTTGATTTCCTATATTTGTTATGCCAAAATGAAGCTATTTCTTTATTAAAAATAAACATAATGAATGCTCATTAAGGTGGCAGCTTCATATTCTCATAAGGTTTCGCTGTTAAGACTAATCTTTAAAGGTTTTACCAATGATACTATGTAAGTGGGTTTGCATCCACATGTGTAATGCCTATATTTCTACCAAATCACTTTAAAATGTCCAGATAGATAAATTTGTCTAAGTTAGCCAAACTGTGGCAAGGCCTTTTCAAATGCCAGATAAAAGTCTGTTAAAATCTGTATCTTTTCATATGGGCTTGGACTTTTAATTTTAAAACAGAGTTTTAAAAATACTGAAACCTACAAGATGGATTTTAAAAGTTATTAAAATTATCAATAGATCATAATATTAACCATGTTAATATACATTATTATTACAATCTGGGGATGACTTAAGAGAAAAAAACAGTGTCTCCTTTCTCAGTGAATATCAAATAAGAGAGTGGTTGTGATATTTAAAATTTTGTCTTCATTCATCTTTGTAGAATAAACTTTTGGAGAATGAGCTATCATTGGGAAAACTTTCACTTTATATTTTTGTCAGTTGCCATCATATTTTGCTATACTATACCAGAAACTTTCAATAAATAAATTTCCATTTCTGAAAACATCAACACATTATTTATGGCTTTTCAGGTCGGCTTTCTGGTTCTAAATCTTTTTTTCAATTGCTATCCTCCACTTTTTTCCCTTAGTCATGCAGGAATTATAATATGAATCTTTTGTCAGATCCCTACAGCTCCTAATCCAAGGTATCACATATGTCCAAGGTTGCCAAACACTGGAAGCAAAAAACCATGAATTTTGCAGGTATTTTTAAGAATATTTATTAAGAACATATAATACACATACATAGTGTGGAAGTCCAATATTTTGTTGAGGAGTTCTCTTTCCCATCACGTGATATTTTTTTCTACTCAGACTTATGGAATTTTAATTGCATTATAGCAATCTTGATTTCAGCAATATTCCATGGCTTAATAGTCCATCCTTCAGTAATTCATTGAGATGAAAAGGTCACATGCATCTGCCAATATAGTGTATCTCTGCTTCAGCTCACGTTAAGAGACGTATACCTTAGAATCAGCCTAAACCCATATAATATATACTTTTCTACCCATAGGCAAGGTATCTAGGAGGAGAACATGTGATCAAATTGAAAGTACATTGCCTATCAATGAATCATACACAGTTATCACACTAGATTTACATAGCCTACCTTGTATGACATACTCACTTTACCACCATAATTTCCTAGTTCTTTAAGAAATGTTAAAAGGATTCTGTTCTTATTTTTGTTTTTATCTGTCTTGTTAGAAAACATGTCTTTCTTTCATGTTCTTGACAAAATTTCAAATTGTTTAAATATATCCACATTTACACCATCTTCTAGATTTGTTAGATTTTCAAAACACATGACGATGAGACTAGATTCCAAACTTTGGTCAGATGAGCAAGAGAAACTGAGGCAATATTAAAGGAACAGAAACCTCTTTCAAATCCCAACACCTCTGCCAGCTCCTCCAAGTTTACATTAAACCTCCAGTAATGTTTCTAGAGTGATAAACATACTTCTAAAAAAAAAAAGACCTTCTTAATACTCAAGAAAAGCTGAAATACAATAACTTCTATCATAATTCTACTCAGAAAATCTTCTGTCCTTATTTAAAGCATGCCATTTCCTTCCTTTGGAGTTCAGAAACAATAATAAAGAAAAAGTAAAATATTTTCCCCCTTATTTATTTATAATCAAATGAGATTAGTGTTCTTCCTGTGAACCAAGAATCAAGGTATTGGAATGAAAATAATAACTAATTTAACAAAAGAGACTACAAAAAAATCATTTTGTTAATATAAAAAAATAAATTCACACTCAGTCACAGAGATCTACTGGGAAATGTGCATCTTGCTTAATTAGTCTTGGTAAAATCTAAATATCATCAACTTATTTTGTGAGTGTAGTTGGCTGATGTCCAGATTGGAAGCTTAGGAGAAACTATACTACATCGTCCAGTACAAACATGTCATTCACTGAGCTGGAACCAAACCTCCCACTGTGTCCTTTCCCCAATTCAAAATCCCTGTAGTTTCCAAACAACAGTGTAAATAAGATAGGTCCTTTCACCAACCCACACTCATGACTAGATCAGAATATAACAATGCTTAGCAGAAACGCATGTTTTCTCCTATGAATTAGTAGGGTATAAAATATTTTGTGTGAGTGTGTGCTTTGTCTTAAGTTTTGAACTAAAGGGTAGGGGAATAGATTGGTTCTAGTTACCATCAGGACCATTCATCAGAATTAGATCCTAGTATTACAGAGCTGGAAGCCTCCTGCAGAGGTCATCAAGCCCAACCTCCTCCCTATTAATCAAAGGGAAGGCCAACATATGCCCCAGCGTGCACTATGATTTGTAATTTGAAGTTGACAGGGTATAGAGTTCTCGGAAACTATGAATAATTTACCTTACCATTTTCTGCCTTAGTATCACCGTCTTTAAAATGAGGGCAAGAGTGACTATTTCAAAGAGCCACAGCAAAACAATCTGAAATTCACAGAATAAAAGATATATTGATAAATTAATATAACAGATTCATTTGTGGCTAATAACCTCAGAATAGAAAAGAATACATGCTTTACAAGTACTAACTATAGGTAGCTTAGTTTTCAAAAACGAACTAAATTTGAAAAATTAAAAAGAACATGCAATAGAGAATATATGGAAATAGTCTCCCTGATATATTGTAATATTTCTTGATCCATCTCTGAATTGCTTTCTCTGTCATCTTTATGCCTCTAATTTCAGAATATTTGGCAGAATAATAGGTCTTCTGTTGTAGATCCAATGTTAAAAATAGCACTAACATTGTAGAGATCTGGAGGGTGGTACTGAGAATATTGATAAGCCAATAATTGGCATGTTCCTAGAAAGGAGCATGGTTGTGAATTGAACAGAGCATCCCTTTAAATAGGATGTATTGATATTTAATCAGGTTATGCAGCTTCCTTCCTCCTCTCAAAAAATTGCCCTAACAGTAGCTGAGTATCCCTTGCTGGTCAGCATCAAAGCTGACAGAGTGACCCCAGAGCAAGCAGATCTGCTGCCCATTCTCTAGGATCCCTGTCCAAGGCGAGGAGGAGCAGGTCTCAGGCAGACCGGAATGGGAAAGATCTTTTCAGATTTAGAGTCTTTCCTCAATGACAGAGTTGAAGCCATTTGG